CATTTAAAAAAAATGCATAGAAAATACCTAAATTCTCCTACGAGTAACAAAAAGAAAAAAAAAATGCCTTCAGATCAATAACCATATGCCCACAACTTACCAAAAGAATGGCACCAGTCTTAAAAGATCCAAGAGACAGCATCTCAATTCCCTGCCAGTGACAAAAAATATGTGCTCTATTCAATAAGGAGAAAGATCTTTTTTTTAATTAAATCAACAGGGAGAAAATAACCACACCTTCCATCTCAGAAGACAATAATTCACACACATATAGGAACAACAAAGGCAATATGCATTATCAATAGAAATAAAGATGATATTTTTTCCAGAATCAAGAACCAAAAAAGGAGCTAGCACCATTCAGAAACAAATAAAAGGATAACAAAAATGAGAGCAACCAACTACGCACAAGAGAGAAAGAGGGGGAGAAGACAATGGAGAACATAAAACTTTGAATTACTTTGTGGTTAAACTTTCACTTGATTGATGCTAAAGATTGATGAAAATACAAGATGGAGAAGAAAATTGTAGCATCGAGTTAATGCATTTCCAGAAGTTACAGGTAATCCAAATATCATATAAAGAACAAAATAGCACATTTTAAAAAATGCCTGCAGACTCGTTGCTTAAAATGACAAATGGATATCTGATAAGCATTGTTTGGATGAAATGAATTATTTCCCATGCACTAGCAATTAACAAGTAGAATACCTCACCTAAATAATTCAGAATGCCGGACAAAAATGGGTAGGGGAAATTTTGGCATATTCTTCTTTTATGGAACAACAAATTGCAGTGTACAGTTTTATTTGGCTAAGACAAAAAAGAAAACGTATTTTTTAAAATAGGGCTAACAAACCTGAATGCAGAATGCAAGGCCCAAAATGTTATTAGCCAACCAATGCTTTTTCCATGCATACCATGCACAGAAAAAGGTTCCAGGGATTGCTGCAATGACCTGCGACCTTGTGAACTCTATCTCCAAAGCTGTGTAAGAAAGGTGTAAGGAAAAACATCATTCTGCATAATAAAAGCCAGATAATGTCAACTAGATCAAATGAAAGTCCTAAGATTCAGTAAGTAGCATATATCAGATGACAAAAGCCACTTAAGATTCAATATTTGGTGTCTCACTAAAAGATCAGCTCAAAAAGGAAGTTCATATTAGTTTTAGCAGCAGAAACTTATTTGATTTTCAAGGTTGAGACGTATTCCTATGGTGAACAAATTTTTTCATCGAAACACAAATTTTCCAGAACCCATCATGACAGATATCAATGCCATTGTTCTTTCACAAATATCCAAGTGTATAAACAGCAGATAGTTTTACTTTACCCCGTCTTGAATCTTGAAAAGCCTGCAGTCCCAATAATAAAAATAATGGAAGTGGAGAAGTTGGGAAGGGAGAAAGAAAAATCAGGATTGGGAAAAAATTCAGGCAAGCTAACTATGTGAATATTTTGAGCTAAATTTAATTGAATAGTATAAGGCTTCATTTCAACTTGACTAAAATTCCTGTGATGTTTGTAATTGAATGATATGAAAATTTATAAGGTTATAATCCCGCTCGTTTACGTCTTGTAAGATATCATGTGTACGTGCGTATGTGTTAACACATGTACATATATGTACGTAAAAATATTTATAAAAACTAACATATAAATATGCATCAATATGAATAAAATTGTTCGCAAGCTCTCAAACTAAATAGATATGTAGTAGTTGTCAGTTAATTAGATTGAACAAGTCTAAATACAACCTTGAATCCAGTTCTAATCTGAGCCAAATCAGGATCCAACTGAGC